CTCTTGATGTACAAAAAGTCAAAGAAAATATGTTTCTGTTTAAGAAACTTGGCATAGTACATATGATTTTACCCATTATGTCACATAATTGGCACATTTTCTTTTTAATTTTGCTCAGCTAAAGTGAAACAAGAAGTGACATCAAAGGGGAACTATTTGACAAAGAAAACTCCCTGGTTTTTGTTTACTGAAACAATATTATTTGAATTCTTTTTCATCTCTCTGATAGTGATTAAAATAATCTAAAGAAACATCAAATTCTTCTCTACAGTCTGTGTTGTTAGCCTTTTAAGCAATGCTCTGTTTACATTCAGACATTCCCCTTTGACAGCACTTCCTCTTTCGTCACATGTGAATATCTCTACAACTGTTCATTTTAGTGGCGTGAAATCTTTGTCACTGTTATCAATGTTATCTTTCCAAAAATACATTCATATTTATTATAAAAATTTGATGTCACAGGCACTTTAAAGTCATTCTTTTGTTGGATATCGAATTTTTGGTCATCAGAAAAAAAAAGTTTTTGCAAATCCATCAAATATTTAAAATTTCTGTGCGGTATGGGGGCAACATCAGTGTGAACTCATGTAAATAAACTATTTTTAGCCGTTAATTTTATCTTGGAAGGCTGATGAATTGTGTCTTGGTGTAATCATACTAAACATTAACAATATTATTATTGAGAAGTAAGTGAGGTTTCTGAGTGTTTTCTGTTATTTTTCCTGTCTGTAGGACACCATTACGTGGACATGGCAGGGTCCTGGAGCGTAAGTTTCCTTCTCAATCAATGCAGCTTCCCTGTTCAATACGTGGTTACAATATGATCTGTTTCCTACTAGGGCTGCAACGATTAATTGACGACTAATCGATTATTAAAATAATCAATGACTAATTTAATAATCGATTAATCGTTTTCTTTCCTTTTTTTGTTCTTTACTTTGTTTTTCTCTCCAAATTGCTTTGACACCTTCCACTGCCACATCTGCCTTTCTGTCCTTGACACATATGCACAGTAGTGGTAACTGGGGTAGGCCGTGGACGTCACATGACATTATACAGACAGGCTCTGGTATCATGGCTACCTGGCAATGAAGCTTAAATTAAGCGCCAAGTGTGGTATCATTTTAAGAAAATGAAAGAGAAGCCTGTGCAATATCTGCCTTGCACAGCAATTATTTTTAGTTAGCATATAGCTAAAATCTAACGATGGTTATACTGTATAATAGCAGCTGCATTCTGGCACGATAAGCTCTATGTTTTATATTCAATTAATGTTTGATCCGACTAGTCGACTAATCGAAAAAAATAATCGGTGAATAATCGGTTATAAAAATAATCATTTGTGGCAGCCTTATATCTTACTAAAGATGAACACTGAACTGTGTGGAACAACTTGTTATGTTAACTTTTCTTTTATGCAGGTACAAGATCTTATGGCTAACTCTGTGCCAGCCTCATAATTCAGTGGAGATAGAGGTGAGAGGTTGTTAAAAACTGAAATCAGTAAAACTAATTTTCATTATCCTATTGATCATATTTTTTTTCTGCATTTTTACATTGTGGCTCAGTTTTGTGATGTGTCAGCAGAACTGAGTTGACTTTCTTGCACTGTGTCTTTTAGTACTTGCCTGTTTACCATCCATCAGAGGAGGAGAAGGCAAATCCTGCTCTGTTTGCAAACAACGTCAGAAAGCTCATGGCTAAGTAAGTGTTTGTAGAAGTGAACTTGATGAATCACATCATCTGCTTTGGTTTGATCTGGATGTCAATAACATTACTTGTAAAATCCTTCCCTTCTTCCTGAAGGGCCCTGAAGGTACCACTAGCAGACGTGTCCTTTGAAGACCGGGAGATCATCCTGTCAGAGGGCCCCCTGGGTATCCAGGACTGCAGGAGCCTGCTGCAGTTCAACCAGCTAGTGTGTCGTTTGGGGTAGGTGACAGACCGGATCGACCTGTTGAACAAGCTGTTAGATGTGGGAACATGCTAGAGAAGGGTGCACAAATGCTGACACCTGTTGGTGGAATTGTAGAAACATGCAGACTGATCCATCCTAGACTCTATGACTGTGACTCAATTCATGGGTTGCAGCCCAAGTTGGCTGCTTACATCACTGCCCTGCACCCTAGGCTGTCATTCGTAAGCCCCCTACTCATGCAGCCAACAAAACCCTGAAAACGTCACAGCCGTTTATGCAGCCGACACAAATGGCCCACGTAGACCGTGTCCAATGTTAGGTGGTCTCCATCAGCTGCAACCCATGAATTGAAACACAGCCATCCTTTCAGATCAAATCTCCTTATCGCTTGCTGTCATGAAAGAGAGGCAATCATGTAACAGCCTGTGGTTGTGTATGTATGATCACTGTGTCTGCTGGCTGAATATCTTATTAACTAGGGCGATATTAGATTGTGAAGCATTAGATTGTGTTGATGAAGGTTGCTCAGGAGGCTAATAACGTAGCTAATTAATAATCCCATCAGCTGTCAGGCTTTTAATACTAAATCACAAAGAGCAGAACAGCAGAAGTGGTAATAAATGCACAATTACTTTAGAATTAGAAATAAAACATCAGTACATACTGTATAAACAAACAGCCTGTTGACTTGAGTGTTTTAGTTAACAATTTTAATAAAATTTAAAATTACTTGTGATTAAATTCAAATTTTCATCTTGAAGGTATCCACATATCCACCTTCATTGTATATGGTACGCTTGTTATTTTTTTTAAACAGGTTGAGAGCGAAGAGCACAGACAAGCTGCTGGAACAGGCCAACAGGGCTGCAAAGCTGCATGGAGACAGACTGGGACTGGAGGACTTTGCCCAGTTCCTCAACCTGCCAGTTACAGACGCTCTTAAACAAGTCCATAGCCTGTTTGATCAGGTACGCTCTGAAACACTTATCAAAAATGTGTATCTGCCATCTTCTTTATTTTTTTATTTATTTAATTTATCATTACAAAGGATAATCAAAAATGAGCTTAAACTTGATATTTTTAGTCACCTCACATGAAAGTTTTCTGGCTAATCACAGATCTTTAAAATTTCTGACCTGTGGATTCTGATTGTAGGGAAACACTTATCAATTAGTAAGGTTTCTTACACCTCTCATACGAATGCTATCGTTTATTTACATAAATCAAACAAATCATGAGTTAACAACTTAATTGTGAGCAATCAATTTTCCTATAACAAGTTTAGAATCAATAACGATATAAGGACACTTCCGAACTCAGTCAGTATCAACTCAACACTCAGAATAGAAATAGTAACATCAGTTCAGATTTTGAATAAACCAAAACATTTACCGGCACATTAAAACTTAGATTCTGGCCAGGCAAGTAGTTTTAAAAAAAGGAGGAAAATAAGATTAGTTTTCTACTTTTACTTTATCAAGCATGAGTCATCCAGACAGGCAACTTCTCCGACTCGACTTCCGGCTGGACTCAGGTCTGCTAATAACACATTGGTCTTTACCTTTGATGACTTCTCCGCCACGTCAGGTATCAGGATATAATCACCTGGTCAGTATGTGGACTTTGTGGGGTTCACTTACTTTCACCTGTAGGGGTCACCTCGAGTGAAGAAACAAGATTTACTGCCTCGAAGCAAGGTCTCGGACAGGCCTGACGAGAGGACAGGAACTCTGTCACAAACTGAACTCTATTTAGGCCATGAAAGGTCATCCTAACCGTGGAAGAGAACCCCTCAATTCTCTTAATCAGATAATGGACAGAACAATCTCTTCTATTCGTGATTCGTTGTTTAACTAAGAATCTTTATGCATTTGTTAAATCATGATAATGACTGTCACAGGAAAAGTGGAATGACTTATTTTCTCTTACCGTGCCTTAAAGATTTATAATGGTATAAAAAAGCACAGAGAATCTGATTACAATGTTTTCATTGTGTTTTTATGTAAATCACTGTTTTTATTTTACTGTGAACACAGTAATATAATTGTGGATTTTTCCTGAGAAAATCTTTCATTTATCTGGACTAACAGAAGGTTCAGAACTGATTATAAAACAGAAATGTTAATTAATCATTATAAATGTTTTGCAGTGATTTCTCTTAGTCTATCAGAAGAAAGCTGAAAAGAGGTTATCATATCATGTTGTTGAACAACCACAAAATTTTGACCTTGGGCTGGCGCCGGCTGGCAAATCTTCATCTTTCTTTCTCTGACTCATCTCTAAGCCTGAGGGCGGAACCAAAGTTCGTCTGTTTCTTTTCGTCCGTTTCTTTTACTAACCCGGACGGCTTTGAGCGACGCACTTTTCTTCCTGATTCCAACCTAGGAAGACAGCTGGGATTCTCTCCGGAGCAACCTCAGTTTGACTTTAAGTCTAATCCCCATGAACTAATTAGGGAAGACTTCACAGCCAGGGACCCGGCATGCCTGCCGGTGGTCTCAACCCGAGGCCGAGCCTCTGAGTGTGTTTTTAACTCCTGAGGGGAGATTTTATTTTGGAAGGAGGAACTGGATATGGCTTGAATTTTTCTGGCTTGGACTGAAACAGACGAAAGTTACCTGGAAAAACACCTGTTCGCCAATGACCGGTAAGCGAGCCGACATCAGTTCCCTGACTGATCGGGGGCGAGCCAGCTCCTACCCCAAGGGTGCCTTAAGAAGTCATCATCAGGTAAAAGCTGGTGTGTTCGGAGTGACGTGTCATGTGGAACCTGAGCTTAGAAAAGACGTGCAGTTCCAGTTGACCCACACTTTGATAAAAGTAAAAGTCATAGTAACATACTAATCTTACTTTCCTCCTTTCCTTGTTCTTAATTTGCCAAAACTTAAGCTAAAAGTGCCAGTAAAGTTATTTGGTTGTTAACATCAGAACTGACGTTTTACTGTTCTATTTAAGTAATCTGAGTTGATGTGAATTGAAATTCGAACGTGGGTTTTATCTCAACTCTGATGGTTGTTATAGGAATAACCACAATCAAGTGTAACTTATGATCTGTTCAATTTGTGTAAATAAATGATTGCATAGTCTTTTATGAATCAACTTGAACTTGTCTGAACGTTCTCTTGTGTCACTTTTCACTTCGCACAGTCAAGATATTAACAAGTAATGAGAAATACCTTGGTAAAAGTTTCCTCATAACCTTATGAATGAGAGATGTGGGAAAAGCTTAATTCACCTTAAACTCACTCTTACACACCGATAACCTCAGAGTGTTGCATTCAGTGTCTCCTGGGTCTGCATCAATTCCGAGGGAGAGGCAAGCCGATCCGGTCCTCTCTTCAAAATAAAATCACTTCCCAAAAGAAGGTAAAAATAATAATTGCTAAGGAAGCCGTAGAACCTGGACCGATGCCATCAGGTTCCTAGCTGTAAAATCCACTTGTTGGCTCTTGAGTTAGGTTTTCAGCCAAAGCTCTAATTCTTGTGAAGAGAAAAACAATGAATCTTCCAAGTTGGAATCAGGAAGAAGTGTCTGTCAAAGCTGTCCGGGTTAGTACCTAAGATGAACAAGTTTTGGTTCCGCCCTTCGGCGATAAGTGTTAGATAGAGCAGGGAATCAGGAAAAGTTAGAAGACTGCAAGGAGCCAGCCATATCCAACCAGAAGCAATAATCTTAATGCTTCTGCATAGTTGGGTAAACAACATGCATCTAGCATGATGACCTGCTTACTCTGCTGAGAACTTTTTAAATGAAATCAACTGAAAAAATGAATCAATGTTATATTGAGCAGAAACCTAGACCTAAACTTAAACATTTTATGATTACTTCAAACATGTAAACATTTCTCTTTCATAACCACACTCTAAACCATTCGTTTTTTAGTTAAATGAAAGATTTTCTCAAGAAAAAAATCCACAATTATATTACTGTGTTCACAGTAAAAATAAAAACAGTGATTTGCATCAAAACAATAAAACCTTGTAATCACATTCTCTGTGGTTCTTTTATAAACCTTTATAAATCTTAAAGCACAATGAGAGAAAATAAGTTGTTCTACTTCTGCCATGTGACTGTGACAAGCATTATCTCTAATTAACAGATGCATAAACATTCATAGTTAAATGAAAAATGAATCTCAAAGAATGGAGATTATTCTGTTCATTATCTGATTAAGAGGAAGAGAACGTCCCTTCTACGGTTGGAATAACCTGTCGCGGCCTAAATTAAGTTCAGAGTGGAACAGAGTTTTTGGTCTCTTTAAAGGCCCGTCCGAGACTTGCTTCAGAGACAGTAATTCTTGTTCCTCCACTTGAGGTGACCCCTACACCGATATTAGCCAATAACTTTTTTATGAATAAATTAAACTGTCAGGTGTTGTAAGGTCACAATACACCTTCAATGTTTCAATCTTATTTTATTGAAAAAAAATTGAACAATACAAACTTATTTTAACTGGACATTAGATAGAGCTCACTGCAGAGCTAAAGGGGACAGTGGCTGATTTTCAGACCTTTGTAAAGGTAGATGAGAAATAGATCTTTTCCACCGATCTTATCTAAGTATCGACTGATCTCCCAAAATTACGGAAATCATTGTTGATAAATCAGCTGGCTGATTTAAAAAAGAATGGCTTTTTTATTTACAAGTTGATGGTTTATGGTCTTTGTTGAAAGCAAATGACATTTCTAAATGAAACGAGACAGATTCTTCTACTCACTGAGATCATTTTATTCCCAGCATGAAGACGGACAGATAGACATCAGGCACTACATCGTCGCTCTGTCTACAGTACACAGGCCTTCGAAATCCATGGAGACTTTAAAACTGGCCTTCAAGGTGAGAACTTTAAAAAGCAGCATTGATAAATGGTGATTAAATCCCACTAATCTGAAAGCATCGTGTGTTGTAGATGTATGAGAACGAAGACGGTGGGGAGATCCTGGAGGAGGATCTGGCTGTTGTCTTGGAAATAATGTTGGGAGTGAAGGATGTGGACCTTTCTGGCTTGTTTTTAGCACTTGGAAGACCTGATACAAGAAAAATCACTTACGGTAAGAGCCTGTTTTTGTGTTTGAGTTGCATTTGACTGCCCTGCTCTGCACTGCTCTCTGTCTTTTAATGGAGAACCAGCAGGTTATCACTGGACATCTGCCTCTTATCAGTCATTAAACAAACTGAGTTAAATTAGTCATAGATCCTCTTTGTGGTTCAATATTGTTTTAAACAAATTAAAAAGTTTCTTTGTCACGTAGGTTTGATCGGGACTAAAACACACAGACACATACGCACATTCCAGGCACACACACAGCCTCACAGCCCAATGATCTATTATTATTAGACCTATTATTATAATAATATAATATAGATCATTGTTCAGGAAAAAATGAAAGGCAAAGAGGTGAAGCTCAGCCCGCTGTACGTCCAGCAGCAGGTAAACAAACAGGTGTTTATTCACCGGAGCAACACCAGCAGACAGCGGGAGGAGAAAAAAAAAGGCAGCACAGCGGGGCAGCGATTGACAGATTGACTAGCCATGATCAGCTCGTCATTGTGATAATTTAACGTGCAGCTCCTGTCGAACTGGAGCCGAACTTCGAGTGACAGCTCCAAACTTCAGTCAAACAAGACCCAAACCGGATGGGAAACTCTACAGCTGCGCTCCTTCAGCTGAGCAGCCGCAGCTCTCTCCACAAGTTGAAAGATGCTGCGGTCTGTATGAAATCAATTTTTGAGGCATTTTAAAGAAAGAAAGAAAGAAAGAAAGAAAGAAAGAAAGAAAGAAAGAAAGAAAGAAAGAAAGAAAGAAAGAAAGAAAG